GCAAGAAGAAGGGCATCTTCCGGCGGTCGCTGCTGAGCGGGCTCAAGCTCCGTAAGTCCGAGTCCAAGAGCTCCTTGGCCAGCCAGCGGAGCAAGCAGAGCTCTTTCCGGAGCGAAGCCGGGATGAGCACGGTCAGCTCCACCGCCAGCGACATCAACTCCACCATCAGCCTGGGCGAGGGCGAAGCCGAGCTCTCCGTCATCGAAGACGACATCGACGCCACCACCACCGAGATCTACGTCGGCGAGTGGAAGAACGACAAGCGGTCGGGCTTCGGGGTGAGCCAGCGCTCGGATGGACTGAAGTACGAGGGAGAATGGGCCAACAACAAGCGCCACGGCTATGGCTGCATGACCTTCCCCGACGGCACCAAGGAGGAGGGCAAGTACAAGCAGAACATCCTGGTCAGCGGCAAGAGGAAGAACCTCATCCCGCTGCGGGCCAGCAAGATCCGCGAGAAGGTGGATCGGGCCGTGGAGGCGGCCGAGCGGGCGGCCACCATCGCCAAGCAGAAAGCGGAGATCGCGGCGTCCAGGTAAGGTGGTCCCCGTCCCGACGTGGCACCTCGGCGGGGGTCCCCGATGGCTGCGGTTTGGTGGGAAGAGTGGGGTGAGACTTCTGTGTGGTAGCAGGTGCTCGAGGGGGTGGTTGTTTCAGGGAAGCTGCTGGAGTCAGGCAAGCGCTGCGGTGGGTGTCAGCCGTTGGTGCTATCTGGACCCCAACGCAGGAGTGGGCAGCATCCTGGAAAGCCAAGCCACTGGGCTTGCCCAAGCCTCATGGGTGGTGTTCAAAATGGGGTGGATCCGAGCTGAATTGGCCCTCTGCTAACTCCGAGGGGGCTGTGGGTGCACGGCCTTCCCGAAACCAGCCAGCGAGGCCATGCAGGGTCACCCAGAGTGGAGCATTCACTGCAGCCTGGGCGGGGGGTGTGGTTGCACCGTGGTGGGACTACGCTTGTGGGTCATGGTGTGGGGCTCACGGGCTGATAGCTGTCACTTAGGAGGTACTGGGTTATCTACCCTCTTTCTCTCTAGCTTCTTTGAGGAGCAGGATGATACCCTTAGCAGAAGAGGTCCTGAGATGCTGTTTGCCCGTATCCTCTGTCTGACTTATAGCCAAGAGGAACCATCCCAGGGTTGGCCTGTGCTGGGAGGATTCCCAGCTATTTCTGTTCCCAAAAGAGGTTTTGAGTGGAAAAGCAGTCGAATCGCTGGCTGCAGCTGATGCTCGGGGAGGGTTTGCCCTGCCTGAGGCTTTCCTAGAAAGCAGCAGATCTGGGTACCCAAATAATCCCTACAAGCCTCAAGAAGCCCCCACTCCCCGAGCTGGCTGTGGCCATCATGGAACTGCTCAGTGATGTAGAGCAGGGACCTGGTCAGGCTGAAAACCAGCAGGAGGGAGCAGGGGGAAAGGGGTCATGTCTAATTTAGGTTGAAATAGGGTCCAGCTCCCAGCTCAAAGCCAGGCCCAACTCAAACCTCCTTGTAGCTGGCTCCCAAAATGTGCCTGGAGCTTCATGGCTTGCAGCGAGCCCCCAGACAAGAGGTGAGCTGAGGAGGAAAGGCTCCTCTGCTGAATTTGGGGCTCTTCGTATCACTTTTTAGGGTTGGTTTAATAGAGCATGGTCATTCCTTTCTGGTTTCTGAGCAAGCGCCACAGATAGCGGCCAGGCTGGGGGAAAAGGGCTGGGGTTAGGAGAAAAACCCAGGTACCTCCTCAGTCGCCTGTGCTGGATTAATTGCTGGGTCTGGATCATTTGTATGCAGAGTCACACTTGAAATCTTTATCAGCACGTCTGCCGATGACTTACCTGCAATGTGAATGAGACTCCCAGGCCTGCTTTGGGAGCATATTTGGGCTTGATGATGTTTTTGAGCTGATGTTGTACCAAGTTGTTGTCAAAGCTCGGGGGAAAAAAAAAAAATTAAAAAAAATCCCGCTGGATTGCCAGGTAGGAAACAGACTGCAGAGCGGCGGAAAGACCAGATCTTTCCCTGTGATCTGGGGATGTGAATGCCTCGATACAAAGGCCTCAGTCTTGGAAATGTGGAGCTCTAGTCTGGGTCTGAGAACATGAGCATCCTCCGTCCCCCTGTTATAATGGTCCTGGGAAGCCATGAGAGTGGGAGTTGGAAGAGATATGACCCCCTCACGTTGGAAATGCTTAATGAGCTCTTGGCATATAATGTTCCACCTTCTAATTATGAGAGAGGAGAAGGAAAAAAATCAAATCAGACGGGAATGCCAGGGCATGAATACCTTCCTCCCCTGTACTGGCTGGAGTAACGTGGTCCCGAGCTCTGCTGGAGAGCAGCAGCAGTGCCGGGAGGAGGATGCAGCCCGTGGCCACGCGTGTGCATGGAGGAGGAGAAAAGCTGTGGGATTTGGGGACCACCCTGAGGACCCCTTTAATCATCAGGGAAGGTGCAAATGAATAGGAGTGCGTGGCTTCGAGGTTACTCCATCAGAGACCGAACCTGGTCCCGCCAGAAAATGCTCCGGGAGCAGCCTGACATCTCCATCCTACAGCTCAGCTTCCTCCATTTGTGCTCGGTCTTGACTAGGCTGTTCTGGACAAGACACACGGGGAAGAAAGCAAGCGCCGGGAACGAGGGGCTTATGGCACAGCCATTGCCTCCGGTGCACGAGGGCTCTGGGGCGTTGAAAAGCCCGTTATCGATCGGCTGCACAGCCCGTCTCTCACCGCCTCAGCCGGGGGCAGGCAGGCTCCGACGTGCCGCGCGCTGCGCATTAGCGCCGGGTTACCAACCGCCAGCGACAACCGTCCCGGCAGTGTTTGCTGCCCGTGTTAATGGTTTATGTGGAGATGCCAAAACCCCTCAACGAAGAGCCAAACTGTTCGGCTGCGGCTGGGCGGGAGCGCCGGATTTAGGCTTTGCTGGAGACGCGGGGCGGGTGGGATTAGGCGGGCGGAGAGGCTCAGCGCCGAGGTCTTGGAGGGTGTCTTGGGTTTGTAATTCGGCTGTGCGCAGGAGAGGCCCCAGGACCTCTTCATGCAAGCAGGGAGAGCTGCTTTGTCTGAAACCCGTGACCCTTCAGCTCGAGCTTTTCCCCTTTGCGAGGGTTTTTTGCCGAGACAGCCTCCCCAGCGTGCAGAACCGGAGGAGAGCAAGGTTTTGCAAACTTAGAACCGCCTAGAAAGGCTTTCATACAGCCCGGTTAGTTTTAAAGCTTCTGAATAAATAAACACTCCCCTGCAGTGCCCACACCAAATTGCAGCGTCCAAACGGAAAGAAACGCACGAAATAGGCGGTGGGTGCCTTGGCAGAGGAATCCTGATGCTCATTTCGGTGGCTTTGGGGCTCGGGGGTGCAATATCCCCCATCTAATACCAACGTGAGCTCTGGCTTACCAGCACGTGGGGATTTTATAACAGCACTGGGGTGTGTGTGTGTGTGTGTGTGTGTGTGTGTATTCTCTTCTGTCTAATAATACGGCTGAGTTCACTCTGCAGCCTTTCCCTTGGTGGGGGAAAATATGTGCCCACCCACGTATTTCATTAAATTTGTAAGAATTCAGTATTTTTGAAAACTCTACCGCTCTGTCAGATTTGGTTGGAATTGGCCAACACGTTCAAAAGTTATTAGTGTGGGAGTGATGGCATATAGATATATAAACAGCACAATCACATAAGTAAGCCCCATTTCCTGAGGAAAGTAGGCTAAAAACATAGTGTACTGAAGACAAGTAAATTGGATTCTTAAAGTTGTTTTAGTCTGAACAGAGTACAATGTTATCAGTGACACGGAAAAGTAAGCTCATTTAAGGAATACTTTTTAGATTCAGTAGATCATTCTCCTAAATTTTCTTTGATGCAATTAAAATGAATAACACTTTCTTTCCTCTTATACCTCCTGCTCGCTGAAGTAGTTTGGTTAGAGTCAGTGGGCGAGCAGGGCTACGAATCAGGTCGGAAAAACGGCTGTTGGTATCAACTATCGGTTTTCCGAGGTAGCCAGGGAGCGAGCCCTTTTTCAGCCTGTTTAAAATGAAGGTGCTGAGTGTCCTCTTTGTGCTGTGGGGAGCTTCGTTCCCCTCTTGTGTCAGCCAAGAGCCATCACTCTTTCTGCTGCTACCCCAGAAGGATGAAGGATGCCCCGGAGACACCGGCTCCCGTCTCGTTAGTGATAACGTTCATACCTGAGGCAAATTGTCCATGAGCGCTGGTGTGTCATGGTCAACTGAAATATAATAGCCAGGCAAGAGACCTGGGCCAGAAAGCTCTTCCTCACCCCTTGGCTTTCGGCACAGCCGCTGGCCATGGAGGATAGATGCACGTGGAGCATCACGGGGAGCTCAGGACCAACTCCAGCTCTCAGCGAGGGTTGGTGGTAGCTTTAATGCCAGGCAGACAGACCCCAGTTCTCTCCAGAGTTTCCTTCTGCTACCACAATTCAAGGTTTTGTAATTAGTGGCTGGACTACTTATGAGAGGAGAGGCCATCACCGGTGCGAGGGATACGAGTCCCAGAGACGGGCGGCGTTTGGCCAGCACTCGGCTCCTCTCCAGCGCAAGCTTCGTGGGGCCCCCTTGTTCAGCACCTTAAATAACAGCTCCTCGGAGCAGCCGATCCCTAGCACCCCGGAGGGGATGCTGTTCTCAGGTTAGTCCTAAGTAATGCACTTCCAGGCTTAATTATACCCAAGCCATTCACCAGCGATGAGAAAAATATAATTAAGCTCAGTAGTCTCAGGAGGAGTCGGGCTACGAATTAGCACAGTGTCATTCCACTTCAGAGGGGGAAACTGGAGGAAAAAAATAAGAAAAAAAGGAAGGAAATAACAACAACCTGGCAGCGGGGACGGGTAAAGGAAGATGTTTGGACTCCGCACGGATGCTCCTCCAGGATGCTGCAGTGAGGGCGAAGCATCCGTCCGCGTTTGACGTACAACGGGGAGCAGGAAAGCAAGAAAAGCCCCGGAGAGCTGACCAGCAAAGTGCAAAAGGTTGCTTGAACCAAACAGGTATTTTCTTCAGAAAAAATGGAAACGCAGCCCAGGCAAAAACCCCGCAGAAAAGAATAGATTCTGCAGTTCTGATCCCAAACATTTGAAGTTGCGGTAATGTCACTACCGGCAGTACGCCGAGCCATGATAATGCTTCTTAATGCTTGCTCAGGCCTGTGCCTGCAGCTTTGCAATTGTACTGAGCTGCGTTTGATTTAAGGTTTCTGCTGCCTTTTCTGACGCCGGGGGGAGGTGGCTGCGGGGCTCCTGCATTAGTCTCGCCCTAATCCCCGCCTCGTGCTGCCGGCGGGGCTTTCGCTGCGGATGGAGAGCAGGGAGGAGGAGGAGGAGGAGGAGGAGG